TTCCTGATTTTTAGAAGCCCTTTATACTCATCACTGCGTCATGCATCAAACATGACAATAAGCACAGTATTTTTACAAGGAGAAGGTGGAAAAGACCGTCCGATAAATTACATTTCTAGATCTTTCAACAAGACGGTAGAGAGGCTTACGCAGCAAATGAGAAACAACTACTTGCGATCGTATGGGATCTAGGCACAAGTTACTTATATGGTGCGAAAAATATTAAGATAATGACTGATCATCGGCCTTTAACATACATAATGAGCAACGGTAATAACAAGTCGAAACATAAAAGTTGGAAAGCTCGCATCGAAGAATATAACTACGAACTCGTCTATAAACGAGGAACTACGAATAAAGTTCCTGATGCGCTCTCAAGGTTGCCACTAGAATTAATTATGTTATCTACTTCAGGCGCTATACCATCATCATCGACTGAAACAGCTCACACTGCCGAAGAAGATAGCACTAATTTAATGCATAGAAGGTCCCAAAAATGTCTTCAGAAATCAAATGATCATAGGTGAAGGGAAGGTCCTGTGAACAACCACACCAAATTTCCATCGGCATTTTATACAATTGGAAAGAATTGACCAAGCTGCATTAACAAAGATTTTAAAGGAAAGATTATTACAAACACTTTTCAATGGTGTCCGGAAAATACCTTAAAAAAAAACCTAAATAAAATACCGGAAAAATGCATTTAGCAATTACAAGAAGTGTTTCAAGAAACCTTCCAGAGTTACAAAATAAGAATAACCCAAATAATAGTCGAAGACCTCAAAACCAATTAATAGTTGCTAAGTAGGAACATAAAAGAGCACACAAAAATTGGCGAGAAAACAAATAGCTGTGATATTTAGAATACTAAAAGTATGACCGCCATTCTAATGATCACCAATTATTAGAAACACCGGTTCCAACCTATCCAGCCGAGGTTCTATATATTGACATAATCGAAATTAAACAAGAGAAATTCATAAGTTATACCGACAAATTCTCAAAATTCACAAAATTCTTCCGTATATAAGATAAACAAAGTTTCTTATTTAGACTTTCTTTTTTTTTCTCTTCAATTTTTTCATTCTTCATAAAATTTTGTGTTTTTTTCTTGCAAAATTTTTATCAATATATTATTATTTTTTTTTTTTTGCAATATTTGAGTTAGATTTTATTAACTGTAATTTTTGTTTCTGTTACTAATCTCAATATTTTACAACTTTATTATACTTATGTATATACACATGTTTTACAATTTTGTTATACTTTGTTACACTTTTTAGAATTCTAATATTTTTAATTTTATATAGTCTGTAATGAGATTTAAAATTCTCCTTAGACATTATACTTTGAAATAAATAAATAAATAAATAAATAGATCTGTTCTTCAAAAAAGGGATAAACCCATCAAAATTATGAATTGTTTCACAGCACCGATGATAATAGTAATGGACAACGAAACAGATTTTGTCAGCCAAGTTGCCACATACTCGTATTACTTGAAAACGCTTGGTATCGAAATTTATTTTACACCATCACAAAGAAGCGAAATCAATGGAGCTGTCAAAAGAGTTCATTCCACGATTATTGAAATTATAAGATGCCATTAAGAAGAATTCAAGGATCTCACTATGAAAGAACTAGTAAACATCGCAGTAGACCGATATAATAACTCCATACACTCAGTTACAGGAAAAAAACAAAATAATGTCTTTTTCGGAAGATCACAACGGATAAATTACTAAAACTTAGTAAATTTCAAATCGTAGGACATTGACGACTTAGTAGATCATATTAGAAAGAGTTGGAAAAGAAAAATTGACACGGAACAACAAAAGCGAAAAGCAGCTAAATCATACCAAGCTGGAGAAACAGTTTATGCCGCAATAAAACAAATAAAGGGGAAAACAAAGAGCTTTAAATTAATGGAGCAGTTTAAAAATGAAGTTGTCCCAAAAGACAATCGAGTTACCATCACAACTTAATCAGGCCGCAGAATTCATAAGTTCCACTTAAGAAACTCCAGTCCAATCAACTGAACATTTTTACACTTTTCAGACCCTTCCAAATTTATCAATATGATACGCAGCTGGTTACCATCACACTGGGCGTTGGTTATATTTTGAATGGTAATTTTCGTCTAGTCCACAAAATAAATTTAGAGAGCTATTAAACAGTCTTGAAATTAGTTTCAAAAGCAGTACAGCAAGTTACTACAAAAAATAAACTCTGATCCCAACCCAGTTATCAAATAAAACAAGTCGAGAAGCTAATGGCGAAACTTATTGAGTTATATTTTTGCGCTTGAACGTTTCAATATATTATCTTTCGTTTTATTGTGAAAACGAGAACCAATCCATCGGAATCAGGATGAATTTCTTTGAATCGCTTCATTTACCATCCGTTTCTCGCCTTTAGTAATATCAAATCGGTATTCTTTCTCTGGATCTCTGCTAATCTCAGAAAGACGTCGAAGATCTAGGGGAGCTTCTATTTAGTTTAGTTGAAAACTTTTCATACGGTATTTTTGCAAACCCGAGAATTGGGATGTTGTTTTGCCGATCTATTTAAACCAGACAAAGTGAATTTTATCCGGTATTCGGCGCTATGAAACTGAAAGCTCTCCCTTATATTCAAGTGGTTGCGTCGAATCCGATCTCAACCGTTGCAACGCCTTTCTATATTGCCCCGTGAGCTCCATGTCTGCGCCAACAAAGCGAATGACGCCATCGCAATAGAATATCTCGCATCTGCTACGCCTGCAGCCGAATCTCCTGCTAGCTGGAGTGAAACCTTCGTTGCTGAGAGCCATGACCAGCTCAATATGTTTGCTCCCGACTGCACGTAAAAATAGATATGTAGCTTTTATATGTTTTCGGGTTTTAACACTTATTGGCTCTTAATTCAAGGGAGGTTTATGGGTTCTTAATTCAAAATTTAGTTATTTTGGAAAAGTTTTGTCTGATAGGTTTAGGTTTAAATGATAAGAGCAATGTAAAAAAATAAAAGTTTTATAAATCACCGTAGTTTGAATAGTAAGAATAGAGAACAAGAAAACACAAATACTATAAAATATAATAGCAGGTATGTACCGCTAAAAATATACTAGTCACATTAACAATTTGTAAATAAATTTTTTGAATTTTGTGAAATTTGAATAATTTCTAAATGAAGCATCTGAGTTTGAAAAGTAAAGTAAAACTGTTTTTGTTTTTGTAAATAACTTTTAATTGGAGCTTATTGTATAATTTTAAAATTAAAGTGAATTTTGGAAAGTAATTTGTAAATTATTTTTATAAAATTTTAAATGAATTAAGTTGAAATTTTATACAAAACAAAAAAAAATATTATCTTAAAAAGAAAAGGGAGATGTTGTGTAGTTTTTATTTAATTAAACTACATATAGAATATCTCTTTGAATAATAGTATTAATAAGTATGCAATCATAGCAATCGTATGGCACACTGTAGTTTTAGCTTTAATTCATACTCGTAAGTTGAATTATTGATATAAAGACATAAAATGATCAGACTCAGGATTAAATATCCAGATCAAAATAACTCCAGTTATAATGTAGGACTGAAAATGGTAAGATCCTTTTGATTTTAAATTTATAAACTCTAAAACAAAATATATAGGTTATTAAAATATAATAAAATAATAATATTATTAAAATTGTAGTTTCACGTAATGATTATTAAAAAAATCTTATTCTATCGATAATCTTGTGAAAACGTCACTTTTTAAACTAAGGTCTACTACTATATTAGAAGAAATAGAAAAATAATAGACAAATACTACTCTTAAAGGAAAGGTTTTTACTTAAAAAAAATCATTCTTAATAATTACAGAAATAAAACAATACATAAAATATTTATTATTTTAATTATAATTTTTCTCTTTTTCATATTTCATTTATTTTCTCCGAACTATAAACATACTATCAATATAAATAACTTAATATTGTGAATTTCAACATTATATTTTTAAAAATATATTTACATAAAATAAACCTAGGTATGTAATTATAAATATAAAAAATTCAAATGTTATTTAGACAAAAAAAAATATATATATAATAATTTAATTCAAAAGTATATTAGTTTGGTTTTTATTCATTTAAAATATAAATAATATAAAGACTACAACTGTTTCTTAAATGATTTAAGTTGTTTGGTAAGTATTAGTGTTTTGTAAGTGTTTAATTTGTTTAGTTCAGATGACTTAAATAAAATATATAACAAGGAAAAATAGAAGAAATTGTGTCTCACTTTAGCTTTCATTTCAGGGTAAGGGATAAGGACTTTTTATAAACGTAAGTACATTTGAAATTGCGTTATATTAATATTCATAAATGAAATAAGCAAAATGTTGCTAACCTTATTTATTTATACTGAAATCAGTAAATATTTTCAACAATCACAAACAGTAACTGCGAAACGCAATATGCCATAATGTGACGACTATGTAGTATCTTAAAAACATACTGTAAAATATTATTACATTTTTTGAATTATTTTGAATTACAGTAGTGTATTGATAGTTTAAAAACAAATGGTTTATTGTTTTGATTTTATTACGAGTACTTATTTACTACATTCGTTTGTTAACAATGTTTTTATCTCTTTCCTAAATATTAAATTTATTCATTACTGCATTTGTCTTTTCGTACATGTTAAATTAATTATTTCCATTTAAAATTATCGAAATGTTTTCAAAATTTTGAAACAGTTTATGAGAAAAATTCTTTCAAATGGAATATTCATCTACTAGGTTAATTTAATATTGTATATGAAAGAAATGCTGAAAAATCATTCAAAAATTCATTTAATAAGAAAAAGAAACTAATTTATTTGATGCGAAGAGGAACAGAGATTATATCATAAATTTTCTGTAAATTTTGCCTTTTTTTTTTAGCCAATAAATTATTCTATTCTTCTTTATAGATTTTTAAGATGAAACCTTTGATTTATTTTGATACACGATACTCGTTGGGCATATTGTATAGAAAATTTAACTATTTGATTATGTTTTTTTGATTTTTTAATATTCAATTTTAAATACAAATTCAAATTAACAACTATATTATTACAGTTTTATTTTGTTTTTAATTATTAAAAAACACCATTATACATGCCATTATTCATAGTTTAATTCTTCACGATGTATAATGGCATTAATAATGATCGTGTATTGTTTTATGAGTGCGATAAATAAATACATACATACATATATATAAATAAAAAATTTTTGTTATTTAAATTAAGAATTAAATATTAATTAAGTTAATTTTCATTCCATTTTGTTTTTAATTTTTTCGTTTATATTTTTTGCGTTTATTCTTCTAAAATATAAATTTATAATTAAGTCGATTTTAAAATTTGTATGGAAATTAGAAAAAAATATTTGTTATGTTTCATGTTTTACTGATGTTTGCGATGATGTTTGATTTAGTTGCTACTGCTGTTTTTGTTGCTGATTCTATTATTGTTGTTGTTTTACTTTTATCTAGTATTAATGTTCGATGCTTATGTGATGTTAATTGTGCTCTTGATAATACTGCAACATCACATTTTAGACAATGAAAATGAGTTTGTTTCATTGTATACGGACATTCATCATAATATTTTATATTATTTATTTTTTCACTATTATCTTTTAAGTTTATAGAATCTATTAAATTACATTTTTCATTATTTGATATTTTACGAAAACCAGCCATACGGAAAAATTCAGCTTTATTATGTTGTCTACGATGTGCAACAACTTTATTCGTATCAGAGCATATAAAATCACATTTAAGACAATGAAAATGTGATGACTTATTATTCTGTTCATCTTAAAAGAAGAGAAAGAGAATAAACAAATTAATTTTGTGTAGAACAATTAAAATTATATAATGTTAAAATTTTATAAAATATTTATTTAAAAATCACAATAGATTGCAACTAATAAAGTACTTTACTATTTTAATTAATAAAATATTAGATGTATAAAATCGCTCTTGCCGCAGCATAACAAAAAAAAAAAAGAATTAAAAAAACGCCTATTAGTTTTAATTTGTCTATCCGCACGTCCGTCTGTGGATCCGTTTATAAAAATTCTATACAGTTTAAGATAGACAGGTCAATTGCCATAAGATGTAAATAGATCTTCACTAGAAACTTATTTCCGTAGTAGAAAATTTTTACCTATATCCTCACTTATAAAAGTTTTATGCCATTTTTCAACCATAAGAAACCATAAGCATTTTTAAAATTTTCAGCTCTCTATTTTCACGGGTGTAGAAGTTTTGTAAGCAGATCCACGGACGGACAGACGGACGGACAGAGTGAAACTAATAAGCCCTTTTTTCCACAATTTTTTTTGAAAATGCTAATAAAAGCACTATAATAATTATAAAACTTAAAATCAAATGATTACGAAATTAAATTCTAAATTAATAACTAATAAAATTTTTATTAACTTTTTATTTTATGTCGTGTATTTTAGACCAAAAAAATTTAGTACAAAATTTTTTTTATTCATTGTACGAGTACTTTCATTTTTCACTCCTTCCTCAGATATGCTGCCTGAAATGACCTTTTCAAAAAAATTCGGAAATATATTAAATTAAAATTACGGTTAAAATTTCGAGTTGAAATTTGAGTTTTTGGTATGTTGCTAAAAAAACTCCCAGTTTCATTTTTTTAATGAAAAATTTGTTAGACTTTCATCAATTTTTTTTATAGAAAACTCAAAATGAAAATAGGCAAAAACCATAATTTTAAAAAAAAAAAAAAAATTATTCAGAAATGTAATTTTTTTACATTCATTGTGTAAGTATATTTGCAGTTAAGAATTGATATTATTATTACGTCTATTGTGTTAGCGCCTCTTTAAATTTTGTTATTTTTTTTACTCATCCTAAATATATGCAATGGTTTGAAATATTTTAACACATTCATTTTCATTCAATTTAATGGATCGAACAACATAATTTAAGTGTGGAGTCACTAAGTGATAGTGATAATTATCGTTGAAAGTTCGATATTATTATTATAAACACAATTTAATGATTCGTGTCTACGATAAAATTCTTGAAACTTTTACGATAAAAATCACTATTCCTTAGAACAGGCTTGTCAAACACACGGCCAGCAGCTCTTGATCCTGCGGTTCGTTACGATTTTTTAAAAGTCGTGAAATTAAATTCTCATAATTTTGTTAGAAATATTGATTTAGAATCAGTAAGAAAATGTTGAAACCAAAGTGAAGGTTCTGCGGGAGTTTGTCACACATCCAAAAACCAAACTTATGCGTATGTGAAAATTACAGAGTTTCGAGAAGTGGAAAGCGATTGTTTTATACACGAAATACTTATTTATTTGAACCAGTTTAATTTTCTCATAATTGTAAACAGTTGACCAGTTAAGTTAATTAGAAATTTTCCGAATATTCTAATTAGAGAAAATTTTTAAAAACGGAATTTGAAAGAAGATTTTTAGATTTTAATAGATGTCAATAGATTTTCCATTTTCTGTTGATAATTTTTTGCTATTTTGCTAATATTTTTTTTAACTAGCTTACTTTTCAAAAAGTAAATGGTAATATTTACTGACCGGATTGTGTATACAATAGGTAGGTTATGTGATGGCAACAAATTTTGCATATTGAGTTTTCGGTGGGAATGCACTTCTCCATGGTAGGGAAGTGTAAATAAACTATTTTTAGCAACCTGTCGGTCTGTCGGTCTGTGTATCCACGCGTGTATCTCAAGTTCGGCTGAACCGATTTTGATGAAAATTTATATGTAAGTTTATTTCGAATATGACACGGAATGATCAACTTTTGTGATATATCAGGCTTCGGGAACTGCACTTTTTAGTGGGCCTGCTTTACATTTTTGACCATTTTGAAGAAAATATTCAACCGATATACTTGAAATTTCATATATAAGCTTTGCTCGATCATACGCAAAAATTCCTAACTTTTGGAAGAAATCAGGCTTCAGCAACTGGGCGTTTACTACGGGCCAAATATACATTTTTGTGTATATAAAGAGAAATAATCGACCGATTTCATTGAAATTTAATATTTGAATTCTTCGTATTAAATCAATGATCATATAAATTTTTTTTGGAAAAATCAGGACTTGGAAACTGATCTAAGGGCCGATTTTACATCTTTAAGTATATATATGAAACGAATTGATCGAATTTCTTGAAATTTGATAATTGAGTTCTGGTTGTTACCGAAACTAACGCGCGAGCATTTCAGGGAATTCGAGTGGCCAAAATTGAAGCTCTACCATGAGCAATATTTACATTTTTCTAGGTATGTTAACTATAAGCTTACTAATGCCCTAAAAATTAGAAAAAAGTATTTAATAGGCATTTTTATAATATTCTGTAACACTTTCACTTAACTACACAATACACATTGCGGTCAGTTATGTGCTGAACATATCAGTTATTTTTTTCTTGTGGCAACTTTCTTTATTTAATCTGGTTTTGAATTAATTATAATGCATTATACATTTATTTGAATATTTATGCTGTGAATATATATATATATATATACGTATATGACAATTAAGCGATATATGTATATAAATAGAATAAATATGTAAAAAAAAACAAAATTTATTAGAAAAATTTATAAAGAAATTTCATTCAATTCTATGTACAATATTCCGATTCCCATATTTATTAAAATTTTATTTTTCAGAGAGTAAATGAAAAAGTACATAGTGATAACAACCCTTATATCAAGTTCATAATATATCAATATGTTATTATGATGCTAGTATTTACATATGCACATACTTAGGCATGAATAATGAACATTTATTCTATTTAGCATGTTTACAAAACTTCTACACCCTTGAAAATAGAAAGCTGAAATTTCGTACGTACATAGATCTTTACTGAAAACTTATTTTCTAAAAACAAAATTTTTACCTATCTCCCCCCGCTAAAAGTAATAAACCCTCAAAATCTTAAAAATGGCATTTTCTAAAAGATTATTGTAGTAAAACCAGAAACATTTTTTAAATTCTGCAAACGCATTTAAATTCTTATTGCAAGCAGCATACCATATTTGAACTTTACAAAAAAAATGACTGGTAAAATTTACCGTTATTTAAAATCCGTTTTTTACAAATTTTTGATATCGTTTTTTTTCTAGACCTCTTAGGATAATAATAAATAGTTCATATCGTTAGAAGAAAATTTATTCCCACTTCCACTCCCTCTTAAGTTACGAGTATCACCTTTCGAAATTGGTAAAATTTGCATTTTTGGCTCCTTATACTTCCGAAACTGCAAATTTTTCGAAATTTCTATAAATGCAGAAAGCTAACGGTAAATGCCATGTCATTAAAAAATTTAATTATTTTTCTTACCTCACGCAATTCACCCTTAAATTCGAAATTCGACTATTATATTAACGCTATACGTTATTTTTTTGTTTTATTTAAAGGATTGCATAAATTGTTCATCCTAAATTTGACCTTGGAAATATATTCGTATATGAATGGAATAAATTTTAATAATTTAGTAAACAGATTATTTTTAAAAGCAGTGTTTTCAGTTTCTGAAGCGAAAAATGCTACATTACACTTAATAAAGTTTGACCTAACTTTATTTCTTTTTCAAAAGAATTTTGAAAATTCAATTTAAAATTAAACCAATTCTCAATTTTCGATTTATTAGTTTTTTTATTGGTATTGAAGTATAAAAAAATAATCGGAAAGAAAAAACAAATTACATTGTTGGACAATGTATAGGTGTATATATATGATATACTTGCATGTACATATGCATGTGCTTTTTCTAAACGAATAATAATAAAAATTATGATTTTTGGTGGAATATGTAAACACAATTTTGTTTTTAATCCATCCTTCTATTGTAAAAACTAACAACATAGTATTTTCGGTTGCTAATAACTAAGGCACCAAATACAAATTTTAAATTAGCTATAAATATTATTTAGGTATTTACAACAAAAAAAATCTGATCTGGTCAGCACATAACCGACCGCAATGTGTATTGTCTAGTTAAGTGAAAGTGTTACAGAAGATTCGTACATGCGTGCACACACAGACAGACACATATACAGACTGATAGACCGATACCTCTCTAAAAATAGTTTATTTTCGCGTCCGTACTATGGAGAAGTGCGCTCCTACTGAAAAATCGATATACAAAATTTATTGCCATCACATAACCTCCCTTATTATATGCAATGCGGTTGGTAAAAAATAATGGTTTAGAAAATTTTCAATAAATTTTTTAAAATATTCAATATTTAAAAAGAATAATATTATTATATTTTTCTAAATTAAGCTTTCGTTTAAAAATTAAAGCTGGGAATCATTTTAATAAAATTTTCTTAAGATTCTTGGAAAACTTTACATAGAAAAATCCTTAAATTTTCCTTTGAATAATCATTTTTAATGTGCATTACAATTATATAGCAATGAAATGACATTATGAACTGAACAATCGAAGGAATAACATAATTTTCTTTTATGTTTTTAAAAAAGTAATTTTTTAAGAAAAGTTGAAATCTTTCAAGATTCAAGATTAAGAAATAGAAAGAATAATCGCACTTGTTAAAAATTTACAAACGCATTTGTTGATTATTATACGTACTATGTATAAATTTCAATTTGAATGACATAAAATACGTCACACAAAAACAAGATTCTTAGAAAAATAAACTTGTTTTGATAATTTCTTTATTTTTTTATTCACTGTCTTTATTTTTATTTCATCTTTCTTCCCGTTTGCTTTCTAACAACAAATCGTTTAACTACAATTGGTTAATTGTTATACATGTTTCATCGTCATACATGTTAATTGTTATACATGTCGCTAAGAAGTGGGAAATACTTATATATATTTTGCCTTTTCTGGCGAAAAATTTTACGTTGGTTTGGATTTCTGATATATTATAAGGACTATGCTTTCGTTCATATACTAAAATATATCAAGCATGTATTTGCATATATTTAGGATGAGCGAAATAAACAAAAAAATTAAAGAAGCGTCAATATATTTTGACGCTTAAGTGTGACTAACTTTTAATGTAAATGTAATTATATATTTTAAAGGCACAGCATGTATCATCTTATTTTTGTTTTTTTTTTGAAAAAGTTTGAAAGTTTCGGAAATATAACAGCGATTGCAGAATTTAATAAATATTTAATATACATATAATAATTTTTTTTATATAAAAATATATAATAGATTCTTCATCTATATTAGAGATGATATCTATATTATATTCATTTTATATAATGTATAATAAAACAAAGAGATAAAATTGAATGCATTTTAAAAATGGAGAAAAAAATTATAAAAATAAAATTAAACTTACCAAAATTTTTATTATATGAGCATTTCATATAAAAGCATCGCATATTTGAACGATATTGTTTAAAATCATCACCCATTAATTTATCAAGACGTTCGTGACGTGCTGTATGTTGCACAAATCTTGTTTTATCGCAAAAGCTATAATAACAATCATTTCGTATACAATGAAAGTGTGATTGATGATTTCTATAGCCACAATTATTAAAATTACAATCTTCATTAAAACGAAATTTTAGATAACCATTTGGTATTGGTTCATCTTTAAATATAACGTTATTATTAATATTATTTTCAATAATATTGTCATTACTACTGTTATTACAATTACTATTAGAAGGTTTATTATGTAATTTATTTTGAATAGTTGATGATATTTGTTTAATGTTCTTTGTTGTATTATCGATATTATTAGGAACAGATATCGTGGGAGAAGAAGTGCAAGAAGAGGGAAAGGAAAAAGATAAGGAAGGCATAGATGATAATGAAGATAATATGGAATTAGAAGTTACAGAAGGAATAGAAGAAACTGTTGTTGTAATATTAGATATCGTGGCATTTGTATTAAATAAATTTTTATTATCAACATCACAATTATTATCATGATCGTCATTATCAGCATCGTCATGGACATTATCGTTAGTATATTTAGAATTCTGTATTAATTTTTTTGTACTTGAATTAAAATTATTATTGTTATTGTTATGCGATAATTTACGTTTTTTATTAAGATTACTGTTATCAATATTATTAATATTATATTCTTCTACCTTTTCTTCTTCTTCTTCATCTTCTTCCTTTTCTTCTTTTTTGCTTTCTTTTTCTATTATATTATTAATATTAAAATTTAATAAATCTTCATCTTTATTATTTGATAACAATTTTGATGATGACTTCATATTAGAATGATTAGTAGATGTTAAAACTGTAGATGCTGTAGAATCAGCAGTAGCAGCTAATTGCTGTTGTAAATTCATTATTGCTGCTGCTTTAAATAAGTAATTTGATAAATTATTATTACTTATACTAGTGTAGTTATTAACATTATCATTTTTATAATTATCTACATTAACATTATTAATATTTGGACTAGAATCAATGGAAGAAATTAAAGGTGAAGAAGACGTTGACATATTTTTTAAGGATTCTATAAAATTTTTATAAAAAAATTGATTAGATTTATATTGTTCTTTGTTAATATCATCTTCTTGTTGTAACGATAATAAAGATTGAGCTAAATGAAAATTTTTCATAGTATTATCAAAATTTTCAAAGTAATCTTTATTTTTATTAAATACTGTTGATGAATATGGATTCGATAATATTGATGACGATGACGATGATGACGATGATGATGTTGATGAAGATGTTGATAGTGATGATGTGGTTGTTGTTGTTGTTTTTACTTTTGATAACGATGATAGAGAACATGTTGAAGATAATAACGATGATAATGATGACGTTGATACCGTTGTTACTTCTGTTGTAATAGTTGGTAATAAATTTGAAAAAAATATTTTATCATTTGTTGGATTTGTTATAAATGATGTATTAAAATACGGTATTGAAAATGGATTTAACTTTTGAAATTTTTCTAATAACTGAAAATTTTTAAAAAATTTCTCTGAATTTTCATTTAATAACGGTACATCATTATTATAATAATTATTATCAGATGATGATGATCCTGACAGTAATATATTATTATTAATTTTTTTTGCAACCATACTTAAATCTTGTGGCTCATCATTTATGTTTAAATTATTATTTTCATTGTTTTTACTATTACTATTAGTGCTATTCTTATTATTTTCATTATATAATGATTCTGCCTCATCTTTTTCGCTTATTGCTTCTGTTGTTGCTGTTGTTTTTGTTTCTAACACTGCTGTAGTATCTTCTGAATTTAAATATAATAAATGCTTTGTTTTGTGATTTTTAAATTTTATGCTATTACGAAATGTCTGTTGACGAAAAAAAAAGTGTATATAGGTTATAGTAAAATTTAGATATCTTTACGTTGAAATAATTGTATATTTCGGACGTATATATATACATATATGTTATATTATTAAATCCCACAGTTTTCTTGCGTTTTTTAAAATTAAAAGCAGCATGGAAAAATTATGAACAACGAAAGCAATTAAAAATAAAACTAATGCAACCTTACAATACAGAAAAGCACAGACCACCGCATTTATGCAAGAATTCCGAGATTATAATTTTCGACTCAATTTACGAAAACATGTTATCGTGCTTCTTAACAAACAAACGAATTCCTCAAAATATAATTTGGTTTTTTATAGAAGTGTAAGGTTTGCAGTACTTTATTATGGACACTGGGTTATTCAATAGAGCTGGAAACAGAAGTTTAATAAGACAGTCCACCTTTTGTTTAATATAATGCTTGAAAACAACAAATACACCTGAATTAAACGGACTCTCACAGAAAAATTAGAAGATCTGGTATACACAGATTATATGGCCTTTCCAGTATAATATAGAAGATATCTTCAAGTTCTGTTATCCAGGTAATTACTAAAGGAAGGTCGTGCTAAAATATGATCTGAGACTTATGGAAAAACCGGAAGCAATAACATTTGGGAAGGTCTATAAAAATAAGAATATTGAACACCTGTGATAAATCAGTACTTCTCTATCATGGTGCAGTGAATCATGAATGAATATCTGTGAAGCATAAATCGTGAAACAAATAAGGAGTGTTACGAGTATATGAATAGAATACCGGTCCCTTTGTCAACATAGATAACTTTGATTTATATGCGAAATATTCTGATAAAGAAAATAAAGATATCAAGGAGGTTGATTACAAATTCAGGTAAAAACGAATTGGGATTGGTCATTTTTTCTGAACGTTAATGAAAAACATTTCAGAAAGGGTTGTTCAATGAAACTCACAAGATAGAATAATTAGTTTGCCAGAACAACAAAAAGTGCTCAATAAGAAGAAGATAAATTAAGGAATATTTATTTTTGAACCCTTGGAAATAAAAAAAAAACAAATAAAAAAGTTAATTTTGACTTTTGGAAAGATTTGGTTACTTTTTTTTAAGTTTTTATCGGGACTATATAAGAGTTTTAAGCTCCCGATAAAGATCTGTACTATATATCTAGATGGATCTTTACCGGGATATTTATGTCGTGCCTTTATCGCAAGCTTATTGTGACCAAAACAAAGGAATAACAAAAATTAATTATTGGAATTTTTAACGTATTCCATAAATGATGAGAATTTTATATAAATTGTGAGTTGCAAGAATAAATTTTATATCAATTTTATGTCAAACTATTAAAACATTTCAAAATAAAATTTGTTTAATTACCTGATTACAAACTTCGCAATGATAATGTGGTCGTTTTTTTAATTTGCAAAATGACTTCCCACAGTACATAAGATTTATATTGTCATTAGTATTAATTAAATTTGATAAGTTACTTTTTGATAAGTTATTAAATTTGATACTTGTTAATTCCTTAACCTCATTTAGTCCTAGATGTAACTCATCTGCTATATCATTATTATTAACAGTATTTTTTGTTGTATTTTGTGGAAAATATGTGCCGGCCGCTCTAACAACTAATTTATACAGAATAAAAGAAAAAAAAGGAGACAAAATTAAATTAATTTTTTTATAAAATATAATACTATTGATAATTATTACAAGTATATAAGTATAAAAGTAAGAAAAAGCACACCCTTATCCTGAAATCTGTGCAAATGTTGATTTTCATAAATTGCCTAAAAATTTTATTTTTATAAACGTGTGAAATTCATGCGAATAATGATGTGAAATTCATGGCGATTGCAAGATATAAGATGAATAACCTAAATATTTCTAGGCTATATAAAATATAGCATAGAAATGTTCTGGTTAAATATTTCTGTTCGATATACAGGGTTCGATATAGGCACTTATGATAACACTATGAGAGATAGAGGAAAATGTTATATACATTAACTTTTAGATCTCATCGTAGCACCAAAAAAAAAACAAAAAAAAATACTAACAAAAATATTCGAGAAATTTCAAGTTTTGTAAAAAAAATTAAGAAAAAGACAAAAATTCTGACTTTGACGAGCTGTTTCCCGAAAACTATGGCTCAAATCGAATTAATTGTAAGACCAAAAATAAAGAACAATCAATGTAAAACAAGCTTCCAATGATAACTCTATTTTTTATGGTTTCGAAGTTATTAATATTTAATTATATTTATATATATTTTTTTTAGCAGGCTGTAGCTCGAAAACAAGTATATCTGCACCCCACCCAACCAATTTTTGCTCGAAATTGATCAAAGAATTATCCCTGAAATTATTTGCTACCTTATGCGTACAAACACCCTGCATAAAATCATATACTGTAAAATTCCGATGATTGCCTTCCGTTTAATTATGTTCTTTCATAAAGAAGAACTATATGAGATCAACTTAAAGTTTTTAATACATAAATAGAAAATTTTAATTCGTTTTCAGGTTGACTTAGTTAAAAAATTTAAAGTTTTGTGCTGAAGAAATTATCGGTTTTCTCCTTGAAATATCCAAATAAAGAATATCTTTAACATTTGAACGAAAGAATCTTAAACGAAATTCAAATTTGAACCAATTGGGTATTTGGAAAAATTATCGACTTATTTTATAAAAATAGTTTTGAATTTTTATTTGCAGTTTATTTTTTTTATAAAGAGCTATTTCATTAAAATATCTACTAATTTAATAAATAGGTCGAACATTCTTAAATTTCAAAATCTTCACTTGCAAAATGTAATTATTAATATACAGTTATCCATGGATATTTTTTTTAATTTTACAGCAATTGAACAAAAAACCCATTTAATCTTAAATGTATCTACTGAAAAAATTTGGTCTTCCTTTCGCAGCACTAAACGGGAAACGCATTTAAACATAGTGTTTATATCAGGATATAATTGTATATTTAACTTTTATGATATTTGCAGAGGATGAAAAATTTATAAGTTCGTATGTTTGATTCTTTTTTGTAAATTGTGTATGTATGTAAATAAATTAATATGTATATGTAATATAAGAATGTTTCATTGATACATAAGAGGATGTTTCTTAAATACTTTAATATAAATTAGTTTAACTTGAATCTTGTTTTTACCGAACGCTTGAATCTTGTTGATGTTTTTATGTGAGGTAGGCTATGTGATGACAGCAAACTATGCACTTCTCCATAATAGAGAAACGACAATAAACTACATTTAGAGGGATGTCGGTCTGTGTGTGCACATGTGTGTCTCAAGTTATTTTGACTATTGCACGGATTGATAACTTTTTAGGATATATCAGACCTCTCAAAACTGTTTACGTTCTTGCGTATATAATGAGAAATAATCAACCAATTGCCACGAAATTTAATATTTAAATTTGGGGGGTTAAGGCAATGAATCTATAAAGTTTTTGAAAAAATCAATGGTCGAAAACCAAATTCGGGCCGATTTTAAATATTTTACCATATCTGTGGAACGGATTAATGAAATTTCTTGAAATTTGATATTTAAGTTCTGATTGTTACCGAAACTAACTGGTGCGTTTTTCAGCGATATAGGTGGCACAAAATGAAATTCTTCTAAGAGCCAAATTTACACTTTTCTAGGTATGTTAATTAAAATTTTACAAAGTGTCCTTAAAATTTAATAATATATTTTTAACTGTCGCCCAACGAAAAAGGCGTCCAAGTCTGAAAAAGTTACTTTTAAAAAACCTCCTGAGAAAAAATTTAAACAAATTTTTTAAAAACCAAAAAAAAAATTTTTTCTTGTGTAAAATTAAAATGACTTTATGAAAGTTGAACTTGTAAATCAAAAATGATAATAACTTTTAAAAATAAAAATTGTGCCAAATCCTTGCAAAAATAACGATAAAAATAATAAAAAACAATTTTAGAAAATGAGAGCTAATAGCTAGTTGAAAATAAATATAAAATAAAAATCAAAACAAAAATAATATTAAAAAGCCAAACTAAAAAATAATAAATGAAATTCAAAACCAAAATTAATACTAAAGTGAAAAAAAGTAAGGAAAAAATTGTAATTAAGTAACAAGGTGAAAATTTGGAAGCAACTTGGATGAATTAACGAGGCCCTGAACTAACTCAACAGAGAGGAAACGGAGTTTTTAAACAGATTTAATTAGTTAAAAAAAATATCCGTCTTCGCAGCCTATAACAATCACTAATAAATTTTAATTATTTCGAGTTATAAGAAACAAAAAATCACAAGCAAAAAATTACACACATGAAAAAATTTTTTAAATTCGAATATAAAACAAAAGCAAATGCGAATAATAATAATAATAAAAAATTTTTGAGAATATTTCTTAGCAATAATATTCATGTGAAATGCGAGTAAGAAAAAAAAGAAAAAAGAACAGAAATCAAAATTAAAAAATAAACCTTTTTATATAAATTTGCAAGTTGTAGTTAATTTGTAAACATATTGAAGAATCCTAAGCACAATCCAAGTATTCGTTAATATACAATTTCTAGAAATTCAAATTAAAAATTAATAAAAAATCGGAAAATTTTTTCTTCTTAAAAGTAAATTAATCTTTCTTTAAATACAAGAAAACTAAGAAATCGATAAATGAAGTGTAGTTATGTGCTATAATATTACAACTTTAAAGTTATATTTTTAAAATACAAAGTTATTGACTATTAAAATTTAAAACAAAAAAAAATTTTGAATCAAATATTTTTACTAAATTTAATTAAAATTCTTTTAAAATTTTCTAGTAAACAAATTTAAATTTTTATTAAAAACAAAGAATATTTTAACTTCTTTTATTAAACTACAATTTAGAGGTAAGAGGATTATGAGGAGAGTTATCCAAACTGCTAATTATAAAAGAACCGGTAGATTTACCACAGGCCTAACATCTTTGTTTAAAATTACAAAACGTTGACTTTAGGATAAATTATACGAAAAATAATCAGAACACAATACGCAGACCATCCCATTCTACACGGATTACTTAAGTTCCTTCTTACTTCCAAATATCCGGAGTAAAAAATTGTAGGTGCCAAAATGCCGTAATTCGTAAAGATTTTTACGCACAACCCATGAGCTATCCTCAACAAAATCCATACTCCAGTTCTCAAAAACAAAATCATGCACAAACACATCCACAATATTATCTCAATCCAAATTTCATAAGAACTTCTCACCGACCGCCGCTGAAAGTTGCGGCAATGGAAGTGGACCAAAGTATTCATACCGCCGAATCAACCGCACAGTTTTAAAAGACCCCTTAACAATTCTATACAAACACATAACCCCGTTAGAATCAAAGATTATTCAATGCAGAAATAGAGACGGACAAACATTGAAACCTTGATCCTCAACCTTTCACATCCCGGCATTCTAACCAGCGATATATCGACTCCGAAAATTTATTTATTTATTTATTTATTTCAGTATGTCCGAAGAGAATACAAATTTATTCTCATATAAAGACCAAAATTTCATAACCAAAATTTCGAACAGGACTTTTAATCTGCTGCAACTCAATGGGCGGACGTGAATACAAATGAAGAAACTGAACTAGAAGAACATGAAGACATTTAGACTAAACCGCGCTTGGTCTCCTTACTTCAAACACAAACTTAAGAAAGAAGGGTCTTTAAAATTTTTAATAGACACGTGCCCCAAAAAAAGTATATCGAAAGTAAATACGTACGTGCCACAATCCCAAACGAAAAACCATTTTTAGCAAAGTCTGCTGGAGGAAATATCAAAATTACTCAACACGCCTTCATTAAAAATTTTAGGTGAAACCAAACTAAAATTTTTTATATTACCCAGTTTCTAAACATTTAACGGTATTATCGGAAACGACAGCTTAAGGGAGCTTCAAGTGGTCATACATACCGATAAAAGATTCATAATAACAAATTTCAACCAAAAAATCCCACTTCGTGAACAAAGTACTACTGACAACATTAACAACATTAACAACGTTTAAACAAAATAATAAATGAAAATCCGAAACTTTTTTCATACCCCGACAAAAGATTAACGTACAGTACCATACCCATACGCTATGGCATTCAAGGTAGAGGTCGAACGTCAAGTCCAAGAGTTGTTAGATCAGGGCATTATAAGACCTTCGAAACCGCCCTGTAACTCATCGGTTCTGATCGTCCCCAAAAAACAAGACGCCTTGGAAAAGAAAGAGTACAGAATAGTAATAAATAACTGCAAATTTAATTCCATTACTATACCGAACAAATATCCGATCCCGGAGATTAACGAAGTTCTTTCTAATCTTGAGAAAAACAAATACTCCACAACTATTGAACTCAAGAGTGGATTTCACCAGGTTCCTTTCAAACCTTCTGACATTGAAAAGATCGCATTTTCCATTATAAAATGGCAAATTCGAATTTGTTCGCCTACCATTTGGGTTTAAAAACGCCCATCCATTTTTCAAAGGGCTCGTGACGCCATTTGGAGGGAACATATTGGGAAACGATGTTATATCTATATAGATATCATAATATTCAGTAGAGACCTTGACGAGCATCTGAACAATTTGAAACTTGTTTTCAGAACATT